GCTATTTTCCTGCTTCGACGATAACAGGCTATAATCTATTTGTTCAAATGTCGTTGCACTCGTATATATTTACCTAGACGTTTTGTTTACGGAAATACCCGATTCGCATCTGACCGATCGCTGCAACTGCTAAAATACCGTAAAAAAGCTAACATTTCTAATTGTTCGGATAAAAGCAACACAGTAAATTTGTACTAATGATTCTTGATCTCGCGCAAAGCGGAAATGAAAAGTACACATGCGGACGAAGGCAATGCCTAATAACTATTTCCTCTTAATAAATGATTAATAAAACAAAATAACTCAACAACAAAACCCTCAGTCTGATTTCTGATCAGCAGACTTTCAAAAGGCAACCGTCAACAGTCAGATTATTCTACATTTTTATAGAATACGCAATGCAATGACCTGCTGATGTGGTCCTAAAGGAGAATTTGTTATAAGACTCTTTTAAATTGAGAACTGAAGTTTCAGATTGAACAGAAAAACTCACAATGAAAGGTCAGCGGGTCCACGGTGTTCGTAACTCTATAGGCTACTCCAAGAAGATAGAGAAGGAGGATGGGTTACGCGTGAAATGATTTTTATAGTCAGTTCAGTTTGTCACTTCTAGTTTAGAAATTTCCAAACTACATGGCAAGTCTGCAACAAAACTGTCTTTTGTCCGATGTCAACTATGTTGTGTGCCAATTTCAGCCCAGTCTAACGGTTAGTTGTTAGAAATCTCTAAGTTCATAGACAAGGTTTCATAATTTTCTCCACATTGTGCAATTTGTGTGTTAATATATCTAGTCTATTAAAGTCAAAACTGGACTCAGTCCGAGCTCCGTTCAGTTTAAGATAGTGGATTTCCTTAATTATTAGTTCGTATTACGTATTACCAGATCTTTTCTGGGTCATTTTGGTAGTAGGTCTTCTTGAAATGATGTACCAGTATGCACTACTTTCCAGCATATTGCTAAGTGGATTTAAGGCCACACAAAACCACGATGGACTAAAGCTATCACCGTGGAACTTCGCGAAGGAGAGACAATTCACCCAGGCTACCTTGTGTTGTGTTAATGCATAATCAATTTTTTTACTTCGTGTTTATAAAATTATCTCACCAGTAAGCATGAGACAGAAATGTTTTCATTAGTTTTAGTTAGATTTAGTTTTTTTTCATGTGTCCGCTAATGATCGTCAAAAAGGTTTCGTATATTCCTTTTGGTTTTGGTTAGTTTTGATAGGCCTGCTAAAGATAGTCAAAAATGTTTTATGTATTAGTGGTTTTGGTTAGTTCCGGTCTTGCCGTACCTACTAAAGATAGTCAAAAATGTTTATTGCATTTTCGGTTTCGGTTAGTTTTGATTTTGATGTGCCTTGTAAAGATAATAAAAAATGTTTCGTGTATAACGGGTTTTAATTAGTTCTGGCTTTTATGGTGCCAGCTGAAGATAGTCAAAAATGTTTCATGTATTACTGGTGGCATAACCATGGTATTTGGAAAAGTATTAACCAATGAAACGCCACCATCTATGCATGATACCGTAGGTCTGTAAGGGATTTGAACATCTTGCATTTATTGAGTTATTTGCCATTCTCATTCTCTCATTTCCAATCCAATGTTAGCTCTCCATATTTCGGAGTAGCACTTGGCACGTTTATTGTTTGTGTACGTTTTTTTTTTAAATTATTATTGATATCGTAATACAGGCACTATGTGAGTTGTTCATTTTAGTCAATATTATAAGGAATCAATAAATCATTTTTAAATTTCTTAAAAATGACTATTTTTCAGGCTAGTCGTCACATGGGTTTTGCCAAAGATTGCATAGAGTTGTTTAAAACCGTTTAGTTGTTATTTTTATTCTGTTGTCTCATTAAAAACGGCAACGTTTTCATATAAAACGAATTTTCGCCTTTTAACCGACGATTCGTTGGGACGATAAATAAAGAACATTATGTGCGGCCACGGTCGTACGATCATGACTCCGCTTGATCTTTTTCCGTTTGCAAGAATGTCCACTTAAGTGTTATTTTACCGCGTTAGCGAGCGGTAATTTAACAGAAAATGGGGACATGTAGCGGTTCTGCTGATAATTTTGATTATGTACGCCGTTCCGATGTACACGACGGGCTCTTTTTTTACAGTTAAATTGCGATCCCGAAATTGGTGTATCGCGGAGTGGGCGGAATTTCCACGACTCCGATGCCATTTCGAGTCGATCGGAGAATTTCTTAAATTTTTTCGTGTATTCTGCAGAGTGCGAACCTGAATTTGTCGCGGTTCGTTAAACACTCGACGTGGCGTCAGTGTTTCCGAATCCTAAGCTGATTTGCTAGAATTTAAAAAAAAATTGAATTTATTCGAACTTAGCATGAAAACGAACGATGATTGATATAGTCGATGGTAAATTCGATGTTTAAGATATACGGAAAAAATATTTTATTTTTTGAAATTTGAGTACTTTGATTTTGGAATCTTAATAATAATAATAATAATAAAACAAATAAGAACTAAAAGTTCAGATTTTCACTTTTTCCCTGGGTTCCCCTATGTATGTAATTGTTTTAAATTGTTCGTGCTCTGTATTAGGTTTCAGAAATATACAATTTACTGATGTCTGGGTTTGTTTTTTATTTATAATTTTATCGATAATGGACAGATTGTAGCCGTTGTTCACTGAAATTTGTTTAATGATATTAAGTTCTTTGTTGTAATTTTCTGTTGAAAGAGGCGTATTAAGAAGTCTGTGTGAAGGTTTTCGTAATAGTTATGAAAAATTAATAGAGTTATCCTGTACAATTTCGATAGTGAATTTTATACGATTCAATTGTCTGTCCGTTCCAACAAAGCAAGCAAAGACATCATCCACGTATCTATACCACCGTAGAAAACTTTTACTCAAAGGATGGTCTAGTATGAGATTTTAAAAATTATCCATAAAAATATCGGCTAACAAAGGACTAAGTGGGTTTCCCATAATCAAACCTTCCTTAGAGATATAAATCTGTCCATGAAAGATAAAGATTCTATTATGCAATCTAATAAATCTTGTTTCACCAATGAGTTAACCTGTTTCCGAGTGAGGGTTAAATCCACTAAATCTATCACATCCATATTTGGAATACTGGGAAATAATGTTTATACATCAAAAGACAATAGTGTTGCGTTAGAAGGGATTTTGATATCTTTAATTTTGTTGATTAATTCAAGAGAATTTTTATTGCAAATTTTGGTTTAAAATCTGTGTGGGACTTTAAAATATTTACTAATTTTGTTGAGAGTTTAACTGCTGGAGCTGTTACATAAGACACGACTGGTCTAATGGGCAAATCTTGTTTAAATAAGAACTAAAAGTTCAGATTTTTACAAAATTATATATTTATCAAATGAATTGACTTGATAAAGACACGGTTTTTTGTTAAATGGATTTTTATCAAGTAAAAGCCACCTCAGTTCAACATCTTGTTTATGTGATTTAACTAAAGATTATAATTTCGGGGATTGTGGATTCATAATTGTTTCGTTGATACTAAATAGTGTGGAGTTAGTAATTACTTCCTTGACTTGTCTTTGATATAACTCGGTAATATCGTGGTTGATACATTGGAAAAGTTCTGGCTTAAGAAAATTGTTGGTTTTTGAAATATATTCTGGGAGATCGATAGCTATGACTGTCTTCCCTTTATCTGCACGTGTAAATATTGTGTTATCTTCAGAAGCTTTGTTTTTGATAGTTTTTGCTAGTGACATTTGAGAAATGTCTTGGTGTTTGTTGTTATCTATTAATTGAGAATTTACTATATTCGCTAATACATGTTTGTTTAACTTAGAATCGTGAATGTCCTTAATTGCTAGTTCAGAGTCGATCCCTAAACAGTCTAATTCTCTATTAATGTACGAGTGTTGTACGTTATAGTTGAAACCTTTTTCCAAAAATTCATCTTCATTTTTAGAAAATGTTGTGTCTGTTAAGTTTATGAACCTGTTGTAAAATTGGTGGTCGGTATACTTTGTAATAACTGGCTTGCTGTTAGATGTTTTTGAATTAGAAATTAATTTTTCTAACTTTAGTTTTTGTCTAAGAAACTTTTTATGAATGATAGATTAAATGTCTGTCCGAACTCTATAATCAAATGTGTGAAATTTTAGAGGATTAAGCCTATGAGACAATTCAGAATGTACTAAGTACAAAATATTCGTAAAAGTAAAAAAGCAAGTAAATGAGAGATACTCGTATATCTCAATATAAGTTGTGCTAGAGAAAATAAAATATAATTATAGTAGGAACATAGTGAAGAAATCGAAACAAATATTATATACAACAGAGTAGATCAACCTAGTAACAGCAAAAATTTATTACAGTTGACTTTTTCTCCCAAAAATTTGACACGGATAAAAATGTTTATCTAGCTGCTGTTCGAACCTATAGCAAGCTAAAATTTTGGTCGTAGTTTGCGAAAGCGAAAGTGATTTTCCTAGATAAAATTAATGATTAATAATAATTAATTAATAATCCCTAAAAATGTATAATAGTGGAATATCTACATCGTGAGATTTTCGAAATAATATTCCTTATAATATATAAAAGAAAATGAGAAATCAATTTATCTTGGTCAATTACATCTGTCAAATACTTGAAACAATAATTGAACAATTATAGTTAAACAACATGGCGCTCCCTAGCTAGTTAAAACAAAATACTCAAGATATCCCAAGATAAAGTGATTTTTCGAATATTTGCAACTAATTTGAAAACCGGAATAATTAGATTTTCTACTATTTTACATCATTTAACGGGAAATTTATTTATCTTTTAGGCTGAGGCTAAGGCTAAGGCTAAGTACATTTGAAAATTAAAGTGTGGGCGCGCTTTGTATGCCATATCCGAAACATTCATTTCGAACGACCCTGTTTCAGGGTATCGTAATTTGGAGAAAAAGAGTAAAAAATTATTAAGCAAAAATAATCATTAGCATAACTGTTTAATAACTAAATTAAGTGTACTGCTTACCGATAGAGTATCCATCCCCAACAGTTAACCAGGCATGTCCTGTTAAGGTGGCAATAGTATAGAGATGTGGATTAATTTCTTCTAAAGCTTGTTCCTTAAACTAAAAAAAAAACGTTTTACTGATACTAGGTGTTTCAAAAAAGTTTCGCCAATTTACAAGTAGAATAGAATATCAAAAAATAAATTCAGTTGTGTTAATAAGCAATTATCCGAAGATGCCTGATAGGACTGAAAAAGTGTATCTGTGTTTTAAGTGTCTTAAACCGTTTCACAGATAAAAAAACCATTTGTGGTCCTTTTTGCAGAGGCATCTTGTATCACCTGAATATTAAACGGAATTGACTAATCCTATCAAAAGTCAAAAAAGACGAGAGAACTTATTTAAAACAACCTTGGGGCGGGGTTTCAATGAGAATTTTAAAAAGGGAATTTTAATGCGCCAACAAATTAAGTAAACTGTCAATCCCGATTGTTATTAGCAAATTAATAACCCGATGTAAATGCTAAGGGTAATTGGAGTTAAAAATTTTAAATATGTCAGCTCCAGGTCACGGGCGTGTGGAATATGATTTTCATGTTTAATGCGTAAACTGTTGGACAATCGAAGGAAAACTTGTGAAGTACGGAGGTTTGCAGAAATAAAAAAGATGTGTTTTTGTTTATTGTATTAATTTAAAAAAAAAACATGTCACTGCTAAATGTCAACCGATGGACACTTTTTTGAAAAAATTTTTCCGTATCTCAACTTTGAACTTGAACTTTAAGCAGAAAATTGTTTTTTACACAATATATAATGACTGATTACAAAAGTTTTATTACGAAAGGAAATGGTAACAGATGAGCGAGAATAAATTATGTTATAATCAGTTTATTATCATTAAACAAAAATTCAAAAATAATCTTTTTTTTTTAAGTTCTACAAATTATTAAAAAAGGTTAAAAATTGTGTAAATAATGAATGGTATTTTTGAAACAACTGTATTAAGAGAATCTCGATTTAAATTCTAGATTTTTTAAAAATTTAATTTTTTTTTGCTTACAAACATAACTCTAAAAACACTATATTACATGAGGTGACTAGATCCAGAATTCATTTTCAGACCGCTAGCGTTTATAGAGTTTGTTTACTTGACGGAACAACGATTCTCTCCATTTTTAGGGAAATTTGTCACTTTCAAACATGTCCGATTCAGTTACCAAGATTTTTATTGAAAATATGGGTACTTGACTTGGGGTAAGTGGAATCTCTCTTGCTCACTCCTATAGCTTCCAATGTAGTTACATGGCAACAATCCGAAATATCGTTACCCAACCTTTTCCATTTTTTAAACAGGCTTTACTATTTTATGCAAAAGAATATATTGTACGGCAACTCTGGAAGCCTTTACGAAATAAATCAGCAAGCTAAACAGATATGATTCATTTCAATACAGACTTGAGAGAAAGAACCAATCTCCTAGATTGAAACAAGCGGATTTCGTAGCTCCAAAAACCCGTTTGCGTTTTTCTTTAAAGATTTAATAAACGAGTGAGTTATTATTATTAAAAAAGTTTACCGAACGTTTTGCATACTGTACTTTTTCTACGACCGTTAGTTTTTCGGTACATATTCGCAAAACACGAATACATTCACTGACATGACTGTCAAAATAGACAAACGTCAAAATTCAAAGCGTGGGAAATATCTCCGAAAACATCCGATTGCTCCCAAACCCGTCCGGTAAAATCCCGGAAATGTCCGAAGTGGCTCCGATTCGTGAGAAACGAAACTGACGTGGCAAAGCGACGCTTCCCGTGCGCTAGATCGGTGCGTAATTAGATATTTTACAGGCGAGAGTAGAAAAAGATTATTTATATCGTGATTTATTTTGTTTTCCATAGGCAAAAACATGACCCACTTTCCCACCTTACCTTAGTTGTAAAAAATATATAAACAAACGTTTTCCATAATTCTGTTTGACGGGGGCGGAATTTTTATTATGCATTAGCATGGTAAGCATGGTAAGTTCGTCATTCTTAAATTTTGATTACTACTAAGAATCTTAAATTGTTATAGAGATATGGAGGGACGTTAAATTTAACTCCTTTGTAGTAAAACGATTACCGAACGTAAAACACGTATCTTAAGCATGGTTGAGTTGGTGACGATGTTGATAAAGTGACATAAGTATTGAATCTTCTTTCAAGGCAACTCTTCACAAGATTCAAAATAAATTAGAACTAAAAGTTCAGATTTTCACGAAATTGTATATTATGACATGACAATTGTTTCGACAACCACACACAAAGAACTTTTAGTTCTTATTTATTTTGACAAATGGATTTTCATCAAGTAAAAGCCACCTCAGTTCAATTCTGCACAAGATTAATTATTTTTATCTATATATTATCAATTTAACTGATGAATGGAGATTAGAGAGCTGTAGCCTCAAATCGTCCGCATAGAACAGACTTAATACTGTGTTCGAGGTTAAGAGTGGAGGTCTCATAAATTTTAATCAAGTCATTATTTACTAACTTCTGATACCCACGGACTAAACCATATTCAGTACTGTCAGGCTTTAAAAAAAATTACCCCTATTAGTATTTATTTATCTTATCTCTTATTTTCCTAACTGTAGATATTGCCATTACTTTCACTTTGGGCAACTGTCTCCGATATCGCGTATACCGCCGAGAATCATCTGCCATCTGAGACGGGATTTTTTTCACCCTTCACCACATGACACCCATTATCGCGATAACCGAGTACCGTTACTTAAATCGGGCCGTCGGTATGGCCGGGGAGAACACGTCGAAAATTGCCACTCCTCGAAGCGGCACGTGCCTAGCGTGTGGTCCTTTGTGAGCCACCGTAAATAATAACAAAGCTCTGCGAAAAAGGGCGGAAAGAGTTGGTATACCGAGAACGGAAGGGTTGGTGCCCGGCCAACTCTCGAAGATAGTTGATATTCGATACGTTGTACAGTTAAGTGGCAAAAAAACGCCAGGTGCGTCATATGTTTGGTGTGGATCTCGGTATAATTAACGAAAGGGTTTTAATTTGTTTATCGATGTAGCCGGCTTTTAGATTGATTTATATAAGGAACGGGAGAGGGTGGACTACAGTTCCGTTGGTCAGTCGTTAAATTGGCAAAAAATGGTTACACGGGCAGTTGGTGGGTGGGGCGGTATCGAAATAGTTTCGGTAGAAGATAATAGGATCGCCTCGCTTCTAGGGAGATTTTTTCTACGTCCAATTAAGTTTATCCTAATTATTAATACAACGGGCAAAAAGTTGTGCCGACCGCCGTAGCAACTGACCATCTACAAGACAAGATTAGGTTGATCAAATAATTTTATTCAAATATTTGTAAAAAATAAAATTTATAACTAATAACTCCAAAAAACGTATACACAGATTGATATACTTGGGAATTCAAACTAATGTAGTGTTTATTAACGTTCTCTAAAAATGTCTTGATCTGAAAATAGCGGTATGCATTTTCCCAGGAATTTAAATAATCAATGTAATATAATTAATTTAAATAATTAATAATAAGAAGAAGAAGAAGAAAATATATCAACTACATAACTATTACGAGCCTCAAAAAACGAAGTCTAGTTTAAAAACGACTCAGCATTAACCTAAAAAAGATATATATATATATATATATATATATATATATATATATATATATATATATATATATATATATATATATATATATATATATATATATATATATATATATATATATATATATATATATAATAGAAAGTACCCTCACACAAATAATACAAAAGAATCTCCTATTACACTTATCTGCCATTAGTATTAGTCAAAGAAAAGAAATTGTTACCTCCTCTCATCCTCTAAATAAAATTTTCCCCCATATTAGCTGCATTAATAGAATGGGTTTTACACAAGTTGGATGTCTTTGCACCGTCCCAAAAGTTGCTTTTCTTTTGCCCTACTCTAGTAGTTAGTGGCATCGAAAACGAGAAGAGTGCTGACCCCCACAGCTGTCTACATCATCATCTTGCGTATTTCCATAATAATAATAATATCAAAAATAAATTGTTGTATATTGTTATATACAAATATATAGTAGACAAGAGGCGAAGTCTAGCAAAAAGCTACTCCACTTAACCTCTTCAATGTTTAAATTGAAAACTAAGTACGAAGTTACATTGATAAATTAAATATAGTATAATAGATAAATGTAATGGTAATATAGAACAATAGAAAGTTATTAAAAGTAAAAATAAAAGGAATAACATTGAAAATCAAATTATTTGAGAAGTTAGCAGCTTCAACCTGAAATATTTTTTAAAGAATTTAATTGAATGTGATTTTACTGAATACTGTATACTATTAAAAATTACAATAGCGTTATAAGAAAATGGCCTGCGGAACAAAGATAATACGATATCGTGGCAGTGAGATGTGCAAATAATTTGGAAAACCATAGACGCCAAAAAGTACTTGAAAGTACTGTCAATTTTTAACCAGTTAAGTCCCTGGATTTTGTGGGAAATTCTTCTATCAAATTTACGCAATAAATCTGCAACAGCTGTTTTAAATTTTTTGCAATTTATATTTATTAATACTATCAAGACATGGGTAATAGAGGACTAAATCATAGTCCAAAATCGAAAGGACTAGTGATTGAGCTAAAAGTTTCCGTAAACTGAAATTAAGGACAGTTCTACGCCTGTATAAATGGCGCAAAACCAAATAACACTTTTTCACCAACAAATATACATGTTCCACGAATCTCAGTCTACAATCAAATATAACACCAAGATTTTTATTGCAATTCACAATTTTCAAACGTTAATTAATAAATACATTTGGGATACCTGTTCAATGTTAGGTTTAGGAGAAAAAAACATTACACTGCATTTTTTATAATATGATGCAGATTGCAGAATGCCATCGAAATTGTTCATGACATTCTCAAAACCATGATAAGGAAACTAGTAGTTGATAAAGTGTGAGAGAAAATAAACAATGTATCAAAACATGTCTAAATATCACACACCGTAATTGGCTACCCGGAAAACAAATATAAACAGATTCTGAAGGAAAACTAGAATTTTGACTTAAATTCAATA